AGGTCTACTCTTATCCAGGTATTGGACAGAGTAGCTGGTGGATCACCACCACTTTTTCTTGTTGAATCTTTGATATGCTGCCACAGGAAGTGTTTGTAGTATCCACAAATCTTGCTCTCCATGTTTTATCTCTCCCCTTGAGGATCCTTTGTGGAGCAGTCTTGTTTTCCCCTGTGGTTAAAACCCCAAAATATTTAGATTTTTGCTCTAGCTCTCCATGCCACTAAGGCCTCATTTTTTATTTCTATTACCTTCAGGCATGTATCATTGCAATTATTATTTTCCTCCCTTGACCTTCCTGTTGTTAATGGAGGGCTGTAAATAACACTTACTGTGTTCTTCATGGTCCTTAATGTTATCATACATAGTATAAAATCCTTCTGTTTGATTACCTCTGGAATCTCTTATCTCTTCTAAGTTAAATGTTCTTGTAGCAGTAAGGCTACTTCTCCTCCCCCTCCCTTGTTTATCCTGTCTTTTCTTACTATCTGGTATCCTCTTGGGAATATTGCATCCTCTTCTTACATTCATCAGTTTTGTCTCCGTAACGTTGATATAAGGCTGCATATCTGCCATCCTTTCTTGCAACTGCTAGGTTTACTAAAGTTTATAATAATATATTAATTATGGATCTATTTATAGTCATAAATACTTAATTTCTTTTCTTTATTTATAAATACTTAATTTCTTTTCTTTATTTACGTGTAAAAGTGCACAAATAATTAACTCTATATCCCTGAATTATGGTTATCAAATAGATTTTCAAAGTATAGCATAATTTTTGCACAGATACATCAAAAAAGTTCTTATGTGGCAGTGAAGCATTTGGTAGAGCCATGAAAGTTTCAAATACACTGTACTCGCCTTCTTGAGGTTTGGCATTCGACTCCTTTTACCTGTATCGTGATAAAGAAATAATGATTAGTCTTGAGGATATTTTGTGTCAGATGATGCATTAATGCATCATCTGGTGTAGCTATGAGTAGAGTAGGAAATATTAATATGTTGCTGCAATGAGTGTGTTAATAGATAAAAGTATGTTATGTTTATTTACACTTGTGTACCTGTAGGTAAAATCGTGTAGAATTTGTATACATGATCATACTTGCAGTAATAGGTAAATATTTTTAGTAGTACATATTGTATTTAAAACAATTTGTATTTTTTGAAGTACAGTATTGTACATACCTTAGTGATTTTTTTTAACCAAGAGTTTTTTTTTTTTAAGCTCTACTTAGCAACCTGTTTGCGTTAGTTTATTTACACACACTTATAATAAACATCACTGTCATTAGAATGATTGTCAATAAGAGTCTCGTAATATAAACAAGAATTTGTTTATTTTTGCAGGAAGTATATAAGCTGTTTGGATTTTAATTGGTAACTGAGCACTAGAATTAGGCTGAAGGAATATCTTCTGAAATCAGTTTAATTTGATGCTATTTTAATACTTTAAGAACTAACACACAAGTGTAACTAAAATATTTTTGTATTCAAATAATGTTTCTTGTAGCACCTACCTTCTTACTGACATTGTAGAATTAAAGTGTCACACTAAATCCAGTACTTTATACTCCCCAAGACCCACTGTTAATGGCGATGTGTAGAGAGCTTCTAGATAAGCTTGGCATTATAAATCATTAACAGTATAAACCTGTAACCTTTGTTAATGGTGCCATTGAGTGTATCACCTGATAACAGTAGCACTCTTCCCTACAGAACACATTGATATGGGACCTGTTGAAGGTACTGTATGCTTGAGCCAGTCATATTCAGTAATAATAATGGTTTGATTGCATGTGCTTGCATTTTTGCCATGTTATTCGTTTTTGACTGTTAACCAACTAATTTTGCTTTAATTCAAAAGGAATGCAGTGTGTATATGGATATAGAGTATTTGTGAAGTTTAGAAATGAATGGAATTGTACTCAGTTCATGAATAATGCATGATTAACCCTTGGAGTGCACAGTTAACTCAGCCCAGGTACACACCAAAATGCAAATCTAAAAGTATTTGAAAACTAGTTTTTATGAGTTTATTCTTACCAGTTGAGAGTAAAATATATGAAAAATATGGACAAAATATTTTTAAAAAGTCTGTATGGATACATTTGGGATATACTGTACATTTCAGAATTTCATATCAGTTCTTCAAATTTGGATATACTGTAGAATTACAGTACTGTACTCCCAATTTTTACATCTCTTTTAGCAATCAAGAGAAAACATTAATATGGGTGACTGCAGAAAGATGACAAAAATGATCTCAGACTTAATGTTTTGTATAAATATTTTTGGGCATAACAGTACCACATGCTCCAAAATGTTTATAATTAGTGAATTTATATGTATAGGACCAAGGTTTATCGTATTGCGTAATAATTGTCAACTGATGTAAGCTACGTTGACCTCAAGTGACCTCTCATTCGTCAGCTGACATAAGCCTCACTCTAAGGGTTAATGGTTATGGTGCATGTTATATGCTAATCTTGATTGAACTTTTTGCACTGCAGAATTTGCCGATAAGTGGATAATAATAATTGTTCCTTGTGGGTCATAATTTTTTATGTTTTGTTTTTTGCATTGTCATTACAAATAAAAAGTGTTTCAGAGAGGACTAAAAATCTTTCAGAGAGAACTAAAAATCATGATAGTAATGTAGTTGTAGTAATAGTCAAGTCCATGCTAGAAAATACCAGCGTCATGTGGCAATTTGCTCAAACCTTCACCTTAAAAGAATTTATTTGATGCATCTTCCGCTCATTTTATGACATTCTTGGTTCATTGGGATGCAGTGAAGCTATGAAGTGTTTTTTGTAAATGTTATTTAGGTTTTTATCTATCATTGAAAGATAAGGAAGTTCGGTGGAAACCCATTTTAACGCAATCCGCTTTATCGGTAGTGCAAATAGACATGAATCAATCGCTGCCAATGATAAAAACTGGTTGAAGTTAGTTATATAGAAAATATTGGAAACGATCTAGTTGATCGGGTGTGTGTGTGTGGAATGCAACTTTCCAGTGCTGTCATGTACAGCAGACCCTTGCACTTACAACATTTTGTATTTTTGTGGTTTTGGCTATTTGTTGTTACCAGCATTACAGCTTATATTAGCTAGAATATACAGTAAGCTGCTCTCAGTTTTAAGCCAGTGAGCTTATGCAAGAATGCTTTGACCTCAAGTCTATACTTTAACTTGAAGTTAAAAAGATTGTATAAGAATTAAAACAGCAACAGACTATACAACTCCAACATAGGATATTTGTTATGGAAAGTTTATGGTGGCACACATTGTGTAAGGTGTGAGTTTAAAGTGAAGTACAGTTCCTCTTGATTCTATTTTTAAATATATACACATTGTTGCACTGAATTTTATAATTTGGTAAGCTGTTCCATTTGCTTATTATGGGATTTAAATACTGTACTGTGATATATATTTTTTGTTTTCAGTAAAAATGTTTGACTTTAATTTTAAAGCCATTGTTTCAAATAATATTGCAGTATACATTGACAGTTCAATATTTTTTTTTGTCAAGATTGTCATAATCTTTAATGATCTTATTAAATAGCCTTTAATTTTTTTCATTTTCTTTCTTCATTTTGTAATGTGTTGTTTGGACATGAAGATAATCACTTCATATTTAGGTCCCCAATTATTGTTGGGTACAATCGGGGCAGGTTGTTAACAGTGAATGAACAATGTGCAATTGTTGGACCCTGCCTGGGGTTAGACTCTGGAGTGAAGAGGTCTAACCACTATACCACAGTTTGTAATGCTCATGAGAGGATATCATAAGCTTTTATGTCATTTTTATAACACAGTGATTTGAACTCATTTAAATAAGAAAGATCATCTTGATAGTCTCAAGCCTGGCCTCGGGCCAGGCTTGGGGGAGTAAAAGAACTCCCAGAACCCCATCAAGCAGGTGTATATCTATTAGCTTAATCAGTCCCCTCCTTATCCGCCATCTTTATTTTCTCGCATCAATGGCCGCAATAATTTGATACAGTACTTAGTTTAAGCTCGGAGGTAAGGGATTTAGTCTGCATTAAGCTTATAAGGTCATTTTTTTCAGCTATGCCTGGGCTTATGACCCATTTGGGTTTATGTACTTATTGACTGGGCAGCCATGTTATGTGCAGGGATTTAATGACATAATTGACTACTGTATGTTGTTTTTAATGTGCATAGTGGATTGGTAACACTCAAGTACTGTACTCAACATTTGTTATACCAGTGACTACAAGCTTATGACTGAATTTTACATTGACGTTTGAATTTTGAACCATTGCTGTGTTGTAAGCTGAATTTAAGTTAAATGTGGTACATAGTTGACTGTGTATAATACACTATTACAGCAGTGGATACACATGATTGATGTGCAAAATAACTGTTGCAAAACAGTAACATGCCTTGTTAGCATTTTTATCTGTTGTATTCATCATTATATCTGCTATTTTATTTAAATATTTCATATTACTGCACAGAATCTGTTTATGAAATAATTTGTATGAAGTTATGTATTTACTGTAGGTTGTAGTATTCTATACACAGAAAGTACTGTACTCTATTTAGAAATAGAGGTGTATTCTTTTACATGTTTTGGTCTTGTTTTCCACCCATTATATTTCTTCTCGTATTCTCTTTAGCATGTGAAAGTTTCTACTTCATAATAGTTGGTGTTGAATATGGCAGATGTGAAGTGTTGTTCTCTATCTACAGTACCAGCATGGTTGTTATATTTTATATTGTAAGAGATAGAGTATTATTTTTTGTTTATAATTTTTCCCCCATTGCCTTGGAAGACAGTGGAAAGGGAAAATAAGTGCTGTAATATTTATTTTTACATTTTCTTAATACTGCACTGTAGTTTAATAATATAAGCTAGTTAGTATATGCCTATATATTATTAAATAGTTTTCATAAAGTAAGTTGTTTTCAGTTTTTCTTATCTGCATATGTTTTAACACGTTTTCCACATTCATTTTCCACATACAGACGAATGATGGCACAGAAGCGAGTAATCAAATTGCTGTTCTGAGCGCTGAAGTAGAACACCAGAGAGTTGTAGTAGATGAGCTGGAGAACAAGTATCAAGTAACTTTGCTTCAACTTGATGCCCTAACACGGAAGGACCAAGAGAGGCAGCAGGAGAGGAGAGATATTGATAGAAAATTACTATTGCTACAACACGATCTAAAGGAGGCTCAAAGAAAGGTAAAACAGCTCTCTATATTCATTTGCTTATATATCATCATTATTACCCAGTTTCCCACTTTTGTGAGGTGGTGAGGCATCAGGCCAGAGAAAGTATGTGAGCAGTATTAAAGAATTACAGTACTACTGTATAGCTAAAGATATTCACCATGTCTTGACCATAACACAGCATCACAGAGCACCTGCTCTGCCACACTCTAGCAAATCTTCCATAGTATGACCCTCACTACTTTATTCATTTTTGTATTTATTTTTTATTGATTTATATAGAAGTTCATTGGGTTCGTGAGAGTACATAACACTTATTCTTACATTCTTGCAAAGCCACTAACACACACAGCACACTTCTTAATAAAGCACACGTTTCTCAAATTGTCCATTTCTTCTGAACTAATGAAGGCCAATTTTATTTACTTTCCACATTTATTAGTTTTGTACTTAAATGTCAATAATCCTGAAATTTTCTAAGAAAAGTAGTATAATCATATAATTGTGTATTACACTGTATTAACAAACCTTAACACTTGATGGTATTTACTGTACATTGATAATGTTGTATATTCAATTTCTTGATTCTGTTATGCATCCTATTTTTCCCATAAAATCCCTTAGAAAATGCTGCTTGGTCCACTTTGAATAGGTCTCAGGAAGCATCCTGACATAAAATTAGGTAGGTTTTGTAATTTATTGCACCATAGTCGAGAGAAAGCTAAATTTAAAAGGTAATTTAAATTATTTTTTAAATTTAAAATTACCTAATGTGTAAAGCTGATTTTCAAGATAAAAAAAAAAGTGTCTTGAAAAGGGTAGAGTGAGTATATCTGAACATGGGAGGTGGGCTGGCCTTGGAACACGATGAGAGTTCAGCAGTGGGTGACATGAAACTGGATTACGGTGTAGTTTCAAATAATAACATTTGTAGAAACATTCTTAGTGAAGTCCAGAAGCATAGTATACCATACACAGTAAACGGATTAGGTTGAATAATAATGACCCAAAATGGATAACCATGGGACTCGATAACCTTATAAAAAAAAAAAACTTTACAAAAGCATGAAGAATAGTAAAGTCAATCTAGATCAACAATTTGTCAAACTAGTTAGAAATGCTAAAAATGACCTAAGAATGGTTAAAAGAAATTAGAGAAGGCATGCACTGTAGCAAGACAAAGACAAATCATAAATGGGTGTCTGGGAGGGCTCCTTCATTAGCTCTCTGAGGTACTCTCCTCGTTTGCTTCAAGCCTAAGCATCTTGCCAGGCCCTTTGAGTCAGTCACCTACTAGGGACCAGTACCAAAATGTGGACCCCTCAATAGAGGCAAAAAAGTCTTAAGAGATACAAGATCGACCCAGGTAAAAAGGAAAAACTACCAAAAATGTAGAGCATTCCAAACCAAGCAACTGCCTGGAAACATTGGTAACCCTGGCACAAACTATGTACACACTTGTTGTCCAGACCCAACTGCTAGTTACTCATACCCCCAGTAGATGGCAGCCCCAGCAACACACCTGCCTTCCTCCCCCCCCCCTCCCCTTCCCCACTGGTTGACCCCAGTAGTCATGCATTTGGTGTGGTTTAGACTGCAGTTCCTATTGCTATTTGCTCTTCCTGACTTTATTTTCAGCTAAGTGTTGACTTCCTTTTTTGGACCTGGTCTTGAAGGGGCCCTATTTCTGTATTGGTTCCTTTTTTCTCCTTCACACATGTTTTTGTTTAACTCCACTGTTGTGTAAACATTGTGTCTATCTCTAGCTACCTCAACTGCTTGTGGCTAGAGAGACCTTCTCTAGTTGGCACTGGTGGTGCCCCTGCTTTTTAGTGTTTTTTTTTTTTTTGTCCCTGCTAAGGTTACAGGGGCTCATTTCTTGAGGTTTTCTCATTATGAGGAGTTTAGGGTCAGTGTATCGACTTTGGCTCCTATGCATGGCCAAGAGGTTGAGGTGACCTAGGGTTTTGTTGCGATTTGGGGGTGCACTCTGGGTTTGTAGTGAGCTCGTGCTCTGGTGGCTTCTTATCTCCCACTAAAGTGTTTTTTCCTGGTGGGTGGTGTGTTAGAAGTTTCTGGACATTACCCAATGCATGGCTTCCCAGCCAGTTGGCCCCAGCTAGTGTTGGCATTGTCAAGCAGGCCTTGGGTGTTCTGAGTCCAATATAGCTCTTGTTCCTAAGCCTGCCTCTGTGTTCAGTTTTTTTGGGTTATGAGGTTATCTTGAGATGATTTCAGGGCTTTTAGTGTCCCCGCGGCCCGGTCCTCGACCAGGCCTCCACCCCCCAGGAAGCAGCCCGTGACAGCTGACTAACACCCAGGTACCTATTTTACTGCTAGGTAACAGGGGCACAGGGTGAAAGAAACTCTGTGATTCTGTTACATGCTGAAAGTAATCATTTCTATCTCAACCATTCTGCCAGTTTGGTTAATAATTGTTTTTATTCCCCGGACCCGAAATGTTTGTCCTTCACTTGGTGCAGCATATCGGGCGACTACCGCTTTCCGGGACAGAGCGTTCCGTTTGTATTATACCCCTCCCCTGGTCCGCAGTCTGAAGCATTTGTGTTCTTTAGATTTTGTCTACTTTTGATTATAGGATGGATGGTTGCCCATTCCTTTCCAGTGGCAGAACCATTTACAGTTAAAATTTCCTGTTGATGTTCCATTGCTGCCTTCTATTCTGAGGAGGTTATATTTGCTAGGATTGTTCCATATTCAGTATTTGTTAGTCATCTTTGATGTTCAGTGAGGAACTTGGTTCTACTCTAGGCTCTTAGGTAATTTTGTAGGGCATTGGGTTGTGCAGAGGCTCGAGATGGGTCTGTGGATGCCCTTCAACCGTCTGTGGATGTCCTTTAATCGTCTGTGGTCTCGTGCCTAATTCTGAGTTTTTTTTTGCTAATTTAGGATTATTTGTAAGTCATGCCACTCTTAATTGATTGCTCACTATTACACCACCACCTGCCCACTACCTACAAGTTCATTTCTTGATGCCAGTATTTTTCTCAGATTTTTCCTTTCATGCAAATATGCAGTTTGTTTGGTTAATCGTTTGAGGTGCTCGATTCCTATGTTTGCATCTGCCCTGACCTGGGATGTGGGCACTTGGTAACTCCATGTGAATGTGCCTTTGCTTTTCACTGCTTAAGTTGTGGAGGACCACAGACTGTCTGACTGTCTTCAGTTTTTCACATTTGGACTGTCCAGGACATTTTTTGTGCAGCTTCATGGATGCTCTGGATGCTGAGGCTTTGATGCTGGGTGTGTATTTTCTTCTGCCTACGGTGAGTATGGCAGAGGCATTGCTTCGGTTGTATGCTTGGAGGCAGAAGTGGAGTTCTTCACTGCTCGATTACATTCCAGCAAGCTGTTCTAGCTCACATTTTTATGTCAAGGTTGGTCCCTTTTCCCCATATCTGGTTTGTTCTTTTATCCTCCCTTGTTACCAAAGATGGTTTCTGTTGTACTATCAGCTGTGTCCTTTGTTTTTTCGACCTCATATGGGTCAGTAGGCCTTCTGCAGTTAACTTAATTTTTGTGGTATAATAAAGAATGAAAAATTAAAAGGTTTTAAGCATGTGGGTATGCTATATCATAAATAATTGTGTACACATTGCAAGTAATGGAAATGTGGAAGTCTAATTATATACTTGTGAAAGAATGCACATTGAATGTGTACATGTCCAGTGTCAGTGTAACTTGGCCACCTGCACAATGTCATATGTACTAAATGCAGTGTCATTTTAGAGCCTTGTGTAAGTTCAGCAAGGAATTGGAATGTTTTAAAAGTAATACTTATTACAGTACTAGAGGTAAAAGAATAGTAAACATACAAAAATAAAATATTTTCATGCGGTGTCAGTTTAGATTTTCTGCACACATTGGAAGGTTTGGGTCTCCATGCCAAACATTCACTTGTATCGGTTGTAAAATATTTACATATTTTCAAAGATTCCATTATATTGTTAGTCTAGATCTTTTAGGTTACACTGTATTCTCTATGGCCTGTATTATTTATGAATAAGCTGCAGTATTCCTTACATTTGGCTTAAATTTGAAGCTTAACATTAGTTCTTTTGATTGTTGTTATAATACAATTTCAGGCGGACAATGAAATAGAAAGCAGACGTAAGTTGGATGGCCTCTACCAAGAGGTGAAGAAGAAACTTGAGGACGAGCAAAATAAACGGACGAGAGATATTGTCTCTGCTCAGCATGCACACGAGAAGCTAAACTCTTTGGAAAAGCAGGTTAAAATATATGCCTTACTGCATTTTCTATAAAAATTTAAAAATTAAGCCATTCCTTTCATTTGATTTAATTATTTTTTAATCTTTTGCTATGACTTTGTTACATAAACCTTATTCATTAATTTTTTTTTTACTACAAGTACGTTGATAAATTGAGTAACATCCCAGACAGTTTGAGATTTAAGTTTTTTTTAGTGTTTTTCATATTTGCTTGTAAATTCTTTAGAATTTTTAAGTTTAGAACTAATAGTGGTTATATATAATACTCTTATTAGATGGTGACCTATTTAAAATAACCCTAACAGCTTAAAGAAGTTCAAGACAAATATAAAGTTGAGTCGGACAATAACACGCGACTACGCAAGCAAAATGCAGAACTGAATGTAATAAATCAGCGGAAAGATACCTCGGTGACAGAGTACATGGAGAAAATCTCAGCGGTCCAGTCAGTGCGAGACACCTTGGAACGAGACTTGGTGAACCTACAGACCCAGTTGGACCAGGAACGAGCACACAAGAACCATCAGGTTGACTTGGTCTCACAAGCTGATATTAAAATACAAGCATTACAGTCCAAGGTGTGTGATATTTTCTTTAAGTTTTTTAAAAGATAATTTTGTCAAATCATTGTTGTATTGAAGCCTAATCAGCTGAGTTAGTGGTCTCCCATTGTTCTTGCCATTTAATGATAGAATGACACTCTCACACTTGATGGTTTTAATTATAAAAGTGGGAAAATGAATGTGTGTGTTTCATGTGACTTGCATGGATGATTAAAAATATCATTGGTTTTCTAATTATGTATAAATTTTGGTAGCACTGCTTTGTAAAGATTTATAGATAGATAAATGTGATTCTCATTATTCTTAATCATTTAATTTATATCTGTAGCTTGATAGTGCATTCGAAAGAGAAGCGGTTGCACGAAGAGAAGCTGAGAAAGTGTCGGAGCGTCTTGTCCAGCTGGAAAAAGACAGAAACTCACTGGAGTTAGAGCTAAGAGGCATGACAAGCCGGTACGAGCAAGAGGCAAGAGCTTTACGAGAAGCAAATAATGCTGCCCCTACACACAACCACCAGTCCAGTGCACAAGCACTAGCAGGTGTGACTCCTTTACTGATTTCAGAGCCTTCCATATCTTCAGTATTTCATTTTTTTTTTTTTTTAAATAAAGTATAGTACTGTACTGTAATTACATAGTTAATATTATGTATACTTCTGATTTAATACAAATATTGACACTAGCAAGTATTTGAAAGTATTTTTGTGTGGGATTTACAGCCTTGCAGGAACGCCTAAATGCAGAGAAGCAGAAACGTCAGCAAGCAGAGGCATCTAGTCAGGAGAAGGAGCGTCAGAACTCGATGTTGAGTGTTGATTACCGGCAGCTGCAGCAACAGCTTCACAAACTGGAAGGAGAGTACCGGCAAGAGTGTGAAAAGGTGATCAGGCGTAGTTCTTCACTTTGATGGTTGCATTGTTTCAAATTTAGTATTTCTTCTCCATATATAGTTGCAAGAAACTTGTATAGAAATAATTCACATAACTGATTGTGGCTCATTCTTGTTAAATTTACATTTATCCTCAACATGTACTGCACTTTCTCTTATTGTTTTCCAGCTAATTCCACTTGTACACATTATAGTATTCTTTACTTTACTACTTCAGTACCATGTTATGCTTACCCATTTACTGTACTTAATATGGAGTCTTGGTTATCCTTTGCATAATTATTCTAGTGTCTGGTCTCCTAAATAATACTACTGTACTGATTAAGTTTTTTTTGTGTGCTTAAATAATTTACAGCTTCCATTTTAAATTGTGATCGTTTGAATTTCAAAGCCATTTTTATTTTAACAAAAATTTGTGGAGTTCCATTTCAAAGTTTGGCTATTTAGTATAGAATAACTGAAGCATATCTTTTAATTAAATGAATTTTTCATAGGTCAAGGCTCTACAGAAACAGTTGGAATCTGAGACTGAAAAGAGGTCCAGCCTTACTTCAGATCTCCAGGCTCAGTCGTCTGAGGTTGCTCTCCTACGTACAAGAGAAAAACTGCTCACTCGTGATTTAGAAGAAGCAAAAGAGGCACGGAATAACTTGGAGGAAGAACTGCACAAACTCAAGACACAAAAGTCGGTGGATGACATGCAGATGAGGGAACTGCAGGACACACTCGAAGCCGAGCAGTATTTCTCAGTAAGTTGTGTGTCTTGTTAATTGTTCATGTAAGACAAGTGTTGCTTATTGAATAACAAACTTGTTTCAATATTTATGGTTAAATACCAGATTATCATAAAAGAAGTGAAGGCTGTTGAATATGTATAGATTCAAAACTCTAAAGCTGATATTTTTTTCACCTTTTACTATTTGGCCATTAAAATAAATAAGGGGTTACCCTGCTGTGCCCAAAGCTCTTCCTGCTTCTCCCCCTCTACCAGTCTTCCCCTTACCTCCCTCTCATTTCTCTTCCTATCCCCTTTCTTCCCACCCTCTCCAGTGAAGGAATGTTAGTGCACTTACTCTTGTACCAAGATGTTGTACTGATGTGGCATGTGAGTGAGTAATCATTAATAGAGCTATAGTCAGTCTTGAGTTATTTGTAGTATTAGCATAGAATAAAGAAGGAAAATTTAATGAAAAGATGTTTGCATAAGTTATGGAAAGTGGTTAAGTTTTTTTTTTTTTAGTGAATTTAAAGGTAGGAGGAAGAAAGGTTAAAATGATGGAAAGACATGGTGAACGATTGTAAAAGTGCATGGGAAATGGAAAGAAATATGGCAAGATGGAATGGGTTTGTAAAGTTATTTTTAATTTGCAGGCATCTGAACATGATTGTACTGAGCACTGATTTTTATGTCAGCATTGGCAATGTGAGACAATACTAGTTTCTTCATTTTTATATTTACATTTTTTATAATTATTTTTGTTTTTGAAACCTAATCCTTTTTGCTCCTAACAACTTAGTTGCAGTATTGATGGATATCTTGGCAATGTACCCCCCTGTAACAGGGACATTTTGAAATACTTGTATACTATTTGTATGAGGATTTTAATGTTTATTTTATTTTGAACGTAATCAATTTTTCAGACACTTTACAAGACTCAGGTACGCGAACTTCGCGAAGAAGCAGATGACAAGAGTCGGCAGGCAATGGAGTTGGAAGAAGAACGCACAAGCCTTACTCAGCAGATCCAACTGGCCGTGGGACGAGCCGACTCGGAGGCTCTTGCCCGTTCCATTGCTGAAGAGACCGTAGCCGAACTAGAGAAAGAGAAGACGGTTAAAGAACTGGAGATCCGTGATCTTGTTTCCAGACACACTGCTGACATCACAGAAAAGGACTCTATTCTCAATGTTGTTAGTATATAAATTTGTAAAACAGAATCACACATTAATGGTCCAGGACAGACTGAAATGTCATCATTTATGCTTTTTCTGATGTGTGGCCATGATATCTTCAGTCATGTTATTGTGACTTGCCATCTGGTTAATTTATAATACTTTCTCTCTATTTATTTTGATCACTTGTAAGACAGTGATTTATTGTTAATTGACAAAAATAGCAGAGAAACAAAAGTTTCTACTAGTATTGCTTTAAATGTTAACCTTTTCAATTATTTATCTTGTATAATAGTGTTTAATTATATTTGCTTGAAACTATTTAATACCCTAGAACTAGTGAACGTTAGACAAATCATGTTCATGGAACATCAAAGTTAATTTTGTGATATAACTGCATGTCATCTTTCAAATATTTATGCAACAAATTGTATGTGTGTTAATTTGTCTTACAGGCAAAAGAACGTGAACAGGAACTGAGCAGATCAGTGGAGACTCTCAAGCAGGAAAAGGATTTGCTTAATGCCCAAGTCCAGAATCTTGAGGAAGGTTAGTTTAGAAATTTAAAACATTGTTTATATACTGTAGTTTCAAAGCATCACATGACAATGATTATTGGGAAGATTAGGCACAGAGTGTAGCTCTCATCTGTAACTACACTTAGGTGTAGTTACCTGACACCACAATGCACCTCTTGACACAATAGCTGGTCACCCCTCCTCTCAGATATGATTGGTATGTCAGGAATAAAACCGAGTATTCCAGACTGAAGTTTGAATTACGTACTGTACTTCCCATTTTTTTTGGTTAACTATTATTTCTTATCAATCTGCAACATGTTTCCCCTTCAATATATCAATGGTTGAAGGCCTGATTGAGCCATTTCTAGTGTTTTGAGAGGATGTTGAAAAAGGATGTTTACGAGATTATGCAATAAATTTAAAGTATGACAGGGACATGATGAATTGGAGCAGACCCAATAAAACTAATACTAGCTGTAGCCTGCCAAGGCTACAATTTCTGGCCTTCATATTCATAATTTCCAAGTGCTGTACTGATAGTTATAGGCCCTAGTACAGCGGGTAAATTAATACAATATTGATGAAAGCAGCACTGTAGCCTGTATAGCAATGGTGTGTGAATGATTTGTCCTGTTTATGGGAGCAAAATATTTCTCGGCCAGTTGTAATTGCTAAATATATTCCTCAGTGCCGTACATAATCATGGCAATTACAATTAGTTTTTTTTTTTAACACTTTCGCTCACCCCGCGCGCCACCCCTCGACAGGGCGATATGGGCCCCAGCGTGTCACGGAAGCGCGCGTTAATTCCGAAAAGTGTATACTCTCTTCAACTTTGTCACCTCAATTCTCCTTCTACGAGATTAAATTTGGTATCATTGTGTTCGCAATAAAATTCTCTACAGCACTAAATGCATATAAACTCCAAAAGCCCAGCTAATTACCCGCAGCAAACAGAGAAAGTGCGAACGAGTTACTCGGGAGCGCGCAAACGGGATAAAATGTTTTCACTATTTTCACTCTGGTCACCTCAATTTTTGTCCTAGGTCTTTCATTTTGGTCTCAATGGGTTCGTAATAAAATTCTCTAGAGGAACATTAGCATATAAAAAAAAAACCTGGTCACGCTCCAACCGCCGACGAGTTGAAGACGGGCCACGCGTTAGCCGTGAGTGAGTGCTCAGAGGCCTTCCTGCTACACTCCAAATTCCCACCCTTTTCAAGCCTTTCTTTCGCAATTTTCTTCCTGGAAGGGCCTTGTTCATGATTACTGTCCATCGTGGAGTAAGCGTAGATAGTTTCTAAAGCCGCAGTAAGAAATATAGCCACGGGAAATAGCCGAAATGTTCACACGTTTGAGATGCGAGGGGAGGCGACATTGGTCACAACAGTGGAGCAAAGACAATGGGCCCACGGCGTGTGCCAAGCCGCCTAAGGGCCACGAGGCTCAACAAAGAAAATGGGAAGACATCGGCGCACATTTTAAAACCAGTCCCCAAAAAATTGGATAAAAACCTGATTTTTGGCGAATTTTTAAATTGGATGACGCAATGCTGCGTCATCCCCGGCATTACCGCCAGTAAACGGATGACGCAATGCTGCGTCATCCCCGAGCGAAAGTGTTAAGTTAGATTCACTGTATTCTTCTGGTAGAACAATAATTTTTTTCAAACAGTCATTACCTCTACTGTAATGTTTTATTCCATGCAGAACACAAGAAAATTTCTAATGATCACCAGGGTGAGCTAGAAAAATTAAGCAAGCAATTAAAACAAGAACAGCTTCTTAAGATGCAAGCTGTTAATAAATTAGCAGAGATCATGGCTCGTAAGGAAAATCTTCCAGCTAGTCGTAAACCTAAGGCCTCGGCCAATGACCTGAGAAGAAAGGAGAAGGAATGTCGTAAATTGCAACAAGAGATGACAATGGTAAGTAGCAGTCTGTTACCTTTTAGTTTTAGTTAATAGAAAATTATGGCTGCTTTACAGTATGTTTGTGTTTATATTTTATTTAGTTCTCATCTAAAAAATTATTAGATGTGACTTGCATCACTGATACAATATAAGAATGTTTTATCTGTGTTTCTAGCTAATGAATACATACCAAAAATAGACTTAAAATATGTGTAGTGTAAATTTGAATTTATACTAGATTTGAAGGTTTCATTGCCTGGTGTGGAAATATTTCTAATGGTACAATATTTGTCTATTAATGAATTTTTTTTTGTGATAGGAGCGTGACAAGTTCTCTCAAATGGTGTCAAAGTATACAAAGGAAGTCCAGGATCTGCAAGCACTGTTATATGAGGAAAGTCAGGCTAAAGTCCGACTTCAAATGGAGGCCGACTCTAAAGACTCTGAAATTGAGTCTCTCACCTGTAAACTGGCAAACATCAACAGTGAGACGGCCTCCCTTAGCAGTGGGGCAGATAACGATATTGATGAATTAGGTGAGTACCAGAAGAATTGGTGGTTGTGCTTGTATCACTTATATTTGGACAACAATGGTATTGTTACAGTATTTTGTCTCATAATAGATAATTATGGTAAATAGTAACCAAAAACAAAATTTCAAGTAGTGATACCTTTTTTATCTTGAATGGTGCCCAATGATGGACGTCTTGTGATCATAACCTGAGAACATGGAACAAGTTTCATTTACTCATTCATGCTATACTTAATAAGTTTGTTTACATTAATTGTGATAAATTCACTATTCAACCTAAAATCCTTGATACTTTTTCTAACATTTATTAATTACATAAATTGTTATGCCAAACACTTTTCTTTTAATGACATATAGACTTTCAATTCACTTTTTGCATCTTATGTGCACAGGTGCCAGCAGTGCCATTCCCTGTATGCTGGGAATATAAATAAGGCAGGTTTATGGGCGGTTAGGTGTAGAGAAAACTGGGCAAAATGTTGATAGCATGCTGGAATTTTTGTTTAAAACTTAAACATGTGCACAGATAATTAGTCATTTCGTGCACCTGAAGTAGGATTCCAGTTTATTAGTATATATATTGGTATTGTTTTCCTGTTATGAAGTAAGTATTGCTTGTTGCAGAGTCTCGACTTGAGGGTTGGCTGTCCATTCCCAATAAACAAAACATCAAACGCCATGGCTGGCGGCGACAGTACGTGGTTGTCTCATCAAGGAAGATCATCTTTTACAACTCGGAGAATGATAAACAAAATTCGGACCCAATTCTTATTCTGGACTTAACGTATGTACGGTTACACACATTCAATATGATTTGGTTGCAGTTTCTTGCATTTGTGAGTAAGAATGAAACAAATGTATTCCTTGTGGATTTGTAAAGTTAAACTTTACTACTTAATGCAGTAATTTACTAGCAAGTTTCCCTAAATTTAAAATGGCCTGAATTTGTCCCTAATTATCATTATACAAAATTCCATTATTTTCTATGTGATAATGTGGAGGCATGTAAACCTAACATATAGGAATAATAGGAGTAATTGAAACATGTAAAAATTTGTTTGCAGATAATTCTTTATGCAGAGAACATGTAAACTAGTTGAAGCTTTTGTTGAAGTGTCAGACGTGATTCTTATAAGCAAATGCAGAAAAAGTTGAACTGAGAGTAGTGAGAGAATTAAATTCTACAAGCAGTAAATGTGAATGGGGAAGTGCTGTAAAAGGTCTAAATACTTTGTATGTGTCAATTATGAAATAGTAATTTGTGCAATTGAAGCTGAATATATGTTAACACTTTTGACGGGCGGGGACAGAAATTGTCCATAAATAACTGTGTGTCCAGCGGAGACGCATGTTGCATCCAGAATTAAAATATTTGTTAAAATTCATTCATTGTTCAATTATGGTACTAGTTTTAAAATGCGTGCCGTTAGATTGCAAACAATTTGATACCAAACTGAACAACGTAGCATGAATTCCTGTGTTGCGAAACTCTGGGAATGTGCACATGCTGATTAGTTATGCGAGCTGGTATGTTTGAGCGTCACAAATGCCATGTGCACAGTGGCGTTGCTCAGCGTCTCCCTCCCTGCTTCCTGCTGTGGATGCAACCATTAGCAAAGTTTCAACTTCGTCATTACTGACGTAGGGAGGAGACTTGTTTTATTAATTTATTTATTGAAAGTAAATCTTAAAAAATAACTTCCAGAATGAAAGTTTTTAGGTATTCACAAGATAAATTTTATTAAGAAATAGTGGATTTGCTTACGTGGCAACATCCTATTTTCTCTGGAAGGCTACTGAATCCATTCTGTAGTCAGTTAGATTAGTAAAGTTAGTATATTCCTGACAGCTGTTTTTACTGGGTATGCCAGGTGTTACAATTACAATTATTTATATTGTGTTAATTTTTCCAGAAAACTTTTTCATGTTCGGTCTGTAACACAAGGGGATGTTATAAGAGCTGAGGCCAAAGATATTCCCAGAATATTCCAGGTAAGTTTGTTGTGTTTGTGTTGTGCTAATGCTAATTTATTGGGCTACAGTATTTACTCTAAATATTAGAATTGTATGTATTGGTACATAATCAGTAATTACAATAAAAATTATTTATAACTATTAAAACATCTGGTTACTTGCTTGTGGGATAATGTTTCTTCTCCCCACTTTCTTGTGGGGAGAAGCCTCCAGCAGCCTCTTTCTTCTGGAGCCTTTGGTTCATGGATTGGATTCCTTAATCCTCACTTCAGTTTCCTGTGCCCCTTTTCTTTTGCTGAGGATTTACTTTTTTTGAGGCAAGTTTCTTGCTGGCTCTGGCTTCAGATAGTCACATTTGAAACTTCATGCTTTTTGCTGTAAAGAGCTGGTTTTGTTGCTTTTGTTCTGGGAATCACTGTCTTCATCTCTCATATTTGTCTTTTTGAATGAAAAATTGCTTTACGTCGGGTTCCTGTGTTTGACTGAGGGTGCGTCATACCTTCTAATCTTATGTTGCTGTCCTGCATTATTTGAGCACTTCTCATCCTTCTCAAGCTATCCCAGTTCTCGGCTTTAATTCCTTAGCATTTAGTCCAAAGTTCCTTGGTAACAAGCGCATTTATACCATACCCACAGGGGTGGGTATGTATCTTGCCCCCTAGCTCCCCAAGAACTAGTGGATAATTGGTTTTTATTTATTTGAGGTGTTTTTTGGCCTCTAAGTGGCTGGCATGGTTGTAGTAGCAGGAAGTGTTACAGGCGAGATGGCCACGGTAGCCAGGTGGTGTGGTCAGTGTGTATCACACCAGATGTGTAATTTGCTATCGGTGCTGCTGGGGGAAGAGGGTTCACGCATTCAACTTGGATGGTTTTTGTTCATTGCTTAACTTATTAGTTTGCATAATAGTTTTGGGATAAATGTTTGATTTTTATGATGTAATTTTGAGTGTTTGGGTTTTTTCTCTGGTTTGATCTAATCTTTATTGAAATTTTCATAATTTTGACATTTTTAGTTATATTCCAATGTGCTGAATACTAAGTTTTTCTTTTGTTAAACTTTCAGTTATTATATGCTGGAGAGGGGGAGAGTCGAAAGCCTGGCGATACTCCTGGCCCTTTGGCTCTCCTTGAGGGTGCAGGCCCAGACAAAGCAGGGACCATTGTTCACAAAGGCCATGAATTTTTGGCCATTAGCTTCCATATGCCTACCAACTGTGAGGTCTGTCAGCGACATCTATGGCACATGTTCAAACCACCACCAGCTCTCGAGTGCAGAAGTAAGTCACAGTTTGTATGTGAATTGCATGTTTTAATACTAACAAAAGACATTGAATTCAAATCCTAAACTCTGAATTCTTTGATTCTTTTCTGTCTGTTACAAACTACTTCTATGATATTGCACAGAAGTAAGTTGCTGACACACCTACGTAGGAGTATTTTTATTCTTCTCATTTTATATTATCTTTGTAATTCTCATTCCCTTTTAGTTTTGCTGTTTGCATGTTCCTACTGAATGAGATTTATGTCCATCACAGCCTCATGATTCTCAGTGAAAATTAATGTCTGGGCCAGATTTACATTTATTGTATTAACTCTTGGGGTGTTCCCCTTTTTATGAGACAATGCCCTGGTTTATAGACACAAATATTTACTTTTTCATCCAGTAATGCTACAATGTGTTCCTTGATCATGAGAAAAATCAATAAATTAACTTTGACCATGGAAACGTGAAGAAATATCACAATGACGTCACGATTCGTGAGCATTCATGGAGCAATCGCCTCAGGCCAAGCATAAGGCGGAGTTGCCGCTAAGATATTTCAGCATGTTTATTTTAATGCGTCTAATTAGTTTTGTTTGTGTGGGTTGCAGTGTTCAGTAGTTTGTCATTTGAGAAATTTATATAATAAAATGTATGGACCATAGAAATGCTCAAATACATTTGTTTTACTGATATGCACTACATATTAGAACAATAAAATGTACTATTTCACTGTTATTACATTACTAGTATATACACATTATATATAACTATTTTCATGCACCATTGTGAACCACTGAGCATTTCTGTGTTCGTGAAATGAGCAGTGAGAGCATCGGTTTGTTTCTGGTGGGTGTAATAATTCATAACCAGTTATCAGTTCACCATATCCCCTGCATGTTTTGAATGAAGTTGCAACTGCAAGCATTGAATATATTATGTTTGTATTTTCAGCACTTTTACTGTTTATGTATAAAATACAATGATGCATAGCTCTGTTATTTATATTGCAGAATGTGTAGGATATAGGTACGCACAGATCAGTTTGTCACTAATATGCACATAATTTTATATTCTTTGAACAGTAAAACATCTTTTGCTGTTATAACATTGTATACACACTTTATGTATAACAGTATCTACATTTTTATGCACCATTACTAACACTGAACAGTTGTGGCAAGTGTGGTAATCCTGCAATCCAAGCACAGCACAGTGCCACATGCTGGTCAGTTGACAAAAGCACTTGACCAAGCAAAGTGCCTCCCGATATACTACGCACATTACTAACTCTAGCCATAACAATGGTATTATCATATGAATCCTACCTTATGTAGTCTTTATTACAGTCAGGATTTTCTATGACACTATAATTGTTAAATAATCGCAGTTACTTGTTGATTTCATCATAAAGTAATACTTTGAGCAGTACTGTGAGCTGCTGCTGCATATGCTACTCATGGTCACTATTTCAATTCTGTGGCCCTCACACCCAGGAGGGATACCCACCACTTTTTCCTAAGATAGCATCTGCTTACTGGTTGCCGAGGAAGCAGATGTGGGCCCCGTGTCCCACGAGTTTTAAATCTTGCACAGCCCCTTAAAATATCCTTGACCGTTCCATGCAGCTTACGGATAATTAGTAAGAACATCCCTGACAGTGTTGTGTAGTTAAAGGATTAATCTGCAAGTTTTTCAATTAGTGACTTTTTATTTTAAACACAAGCACCTAGGTTTAAATTTTCTGGCAGTCTTCCATGCTTTGGTACTTTTTTGGACCCAGTGTAATGCATCAAATTACTACAGTATATCAATTCTATTTATTTAAATTTAATTGGTCATTTTATTTGCTTAGGGTGTCGATTGAAGATTCACCGGGACCATCTTGAACGCAAGGAGGAACTGGTAGCTCCTTGTAAAGTTAGTTATGACTTGAACACTGCCAAGGAATTGCTACTGTTAGCTCCCACGGTCGAGTCCCAACAGGTAAGACATTCTGCATTTTCAAAATTTTTACAAAGTGCATTTACTATATAAATATCTTTGTTCTTGCCTGCTGTATTCTCCTTCTGTATTACATGTTATGTTTTAAGAGTTTCTCTTATGCTACAAGTACAATGTTTTGAAAGTCAGTATTTTAACTTTCATATGTATGGTTTCTGTACCTTGTCTTCTTTTGTCCTTTGTCATATTATTGTAATTTAAGAACGTATGTCAGAATTTTAATGGGCATACATATTTTAGACAGCAAAATGTTAAATGATTTTTAAAGATAAGTAATGTGCTGTGAATCAAGCTATTTTAATGATGTTAATGGAAATATATTTTTTTGAGCATTGCTCAACAAAATTAAGCTATTTTTAGAGTTGTTGTTAATGTTTGGTTGAAAATAGCATCCATATCAGACAATGATGTTAAACATGCATAGATGCTGATAAGCTTTTGGCATACCAGGCATATTATATTTGGGAAAGGTCGCTTGTTGATGAGTCGTCACAATTTTTGTGAGAAACGGTTGCATAAAATATGCTGAAATTTTACCTATACAGTACTATGCCTGTCTACTGATATTCTCACATTCAGGGGTCTGCTGGTCCACCACCCCCCAGAGTGAACAGGGGTTGCATGGTTCTGCCAATTTACACACACATGAATGTTAAAAATAATGTTACATTTGTATAGCTTCTGCACGTTGAATGGTATTTTGTTTTTTGTTAACAAAAGGCTTGTATAGTAATCAAACTTCAGGTATCCATCAGTCCCACACCATTGAATTCAATACACAAGGAAATTACAATGTGATATATCAATGAACAAATCAGGTGGGGCAATTGTATAACTAGTACCAGGTCGTGGTCCAGAGGTCAGGTGCATGGCTTGGGAGTATCCAGGTCGTGGTCCAGAGGTCAGGTGCATGGCTTGGGAGTATCCAGGTCGTGGTCCAGAGGTCAGGTGCATGGCTTGGGAGTATCCAGGTCGTGGTCCAGAGGTCAGGTGCATGGCTTGGGAGTATCCAGGTCGTGGTCCAGAGGTCAGGTGCATGGCTTGGGAGTATCCAGGTCGTGGTCCAGAGGTCAGGTGCATGGCTTGGGAGTATCCAGGTCGTGGTCCAGAGGTCAGGTGCATGGCTTGGGAGTATCCAGGTCGTGGTCCAGAGGTCAGGTGCATGGCTTGGGAGTATCCAGGTCGTGGTCCAGAGGTCAGGTGCATGGCTTGGGAGTATCCAGGTCGTGGTCCAGAGGTCAGGTGCATGGCTTGGGAGTATCCAGGTCGTGGTCCAGAGGTCAGGTGCATGGCTTGGGAGTATCCAGGTCGTGGTCCAGAGGTCAGGTGCATGGCTTGGGAGTATCCAGGTCGTGGTCCAGAGGTCAGGTGCATGGCTTGGGAGTATCCAGGTCGTGGTCCAGAGGTCAGGTGCATGGCTTGGGAGTATCCAGGTCGTGGTCCAGAGGTCAGGTGCATGGCTTGGGAGTATCCAGGTCGTGGTCCAGAGGTCAGGTGCATGGCTTGGGAGTATCCAGGTCGGGGGGTTTCAAATTCCTGCATCGCTCCAATTGATTTTCTCATCGAAGTGAATTCTGTATGAGTGTTCAGTAGTGTGTTTTACATTAATTGTTCAGTGTTTTATGTATGGCTGATCCTCTTTTTTACACATGTAAATATTTGGAAAGGATTGTTGTAATATGACAAAAATAAGTCATATTGCAATCATAATGATTTGGAAATATATTTTTGCCTGTGAATCGGCTAGATTGCTAGTCAAAATGCTTCAGCATTTTGTATTTATAAAGCTGGTTATTACATTCAACACTTCAAGGTTTATAGGAGTTCAGCCAGATTTTAAATATATCGGTCTTTGTATTATGGTTTGTAGTTGTTCAAAATAATTTTCTTAAGGAATTTGGAAAACTGATGTACTGTTTCCATTACAGAACTGGGTCTTGCGGTTGTCCAAGAAAATTCAAAAGTCAGGGTACAAAGCCAACAATGCTGGTGGCCCTGACGGTGCCAAAGTCTCCCCAAGGTGAGTGTCAGAGATTACGATACATAATCATTGATAAGATTCTTCTTTGCCTAGTAGGCTAATTCTGTCATCAGGTAGGCATATAGTTTTTGTCCTGCATCGGCTTGACAAAATTTACAAATTGGTTAGTTATAGTAATAAATAAAAGTAATTTTATTTGAAGTATCAGATTTGGTTGCTCCCTAAGGCAAGATCGGGTGTGTGTAGGGCATGGTCATGAGCAGTGAGTCAACGCACTCGTACAGGCACCAAAGGGAACCTTCAGATGTGTTTGTAGGGTCAAAGTAATGCCAAAGAAGCATAGGATCATTCTCAAACCATCTGAAGTGACCTTAGAGAAAGTCATTATCATATAACTTCAGTCCCACTAAACACAATTGAGCATCATAAGAAACCATTAATGGGGCGGCTTTAGTAATCACTAGATGAACTGCATGGCGTCCACCAAACCTATCACCTGTTTGCAGCACCCTATCCAAAAACAAATTTCCACAGATAGAATGTTCCTTTAAATTCTTCCTGTTAAATGGAAGGAACTAGACGAGGCAGTTTTATTGGTCAATTCGTTTGTTTTAAATGTAAACAATAATTAAAATGAGAAGTCAGTGTGTTCAACATTTTAATGGTCCTAAGGTGGCACTTAGGAATAGACACTTGGCTTTGCAAGCACATCTAGGGAAGTATATGTTACATGAGCAAGTTAAGCAGATGGGACCAGTTAGGCTAAGTGAATTGTTCTATCCTTTGAAACTGTTTTCAAATGTACAGTAGATTCATACATAACAAAATAATGGTGAAACTGCAGAATGGCTATTTGCAATTTTCTTTCAAGAGATTTAGCTTTCTGAATCCATTCTGACAATTCATTGATGATTGGGTGCTTTAGCAGGGAGGGATTGGCCAAATGCTCTTTTTGTAATGTTGGATGTTAATCGGTTATTCTTCAGCCGTCTCTAAACATAGTCTTCTCAGTGATTCATGTCAAGAGATGTTTTTTTCCCCTTTTTCAAAAGTTTCACACGTTTGGAAGATCACTTCAACTGGATTGTTTCCTAGGCACCACCACTACTGTACTGTACATCCCTACACGTGTTCTTGAAAAGTTCCTTATGATGCTGGTGCCAGTTTGCAATCCTGTCTGATTGTTCATGATCTTCCTCTACAAACATAACAGAGCTTGCCTTAGTAATTGAGCAAGATGTTCAGAAAAAACTTTTTTATAAACTGCACAGTCAAAGCCTTATTTTGTTTGGCTTAGTCATTGCTTGCAATTAAAAAATTGAGCTAGTACTAGCAGCTTGAATTTGCAGATACCACATTGACATCATTTTCTGTGCTATTCTGTAATTGTAATTTTTATTTTAAATTAGTACATTATTATTGTATTTGTGCTTGTGATCATTTTGTGTATTTAGCATTTTATAAGCAGTTTTTCAATAATTCATAGGGATTTTTTTTAATAAATTTTGTTAACATATGGTTCATAGGACAACACTTCCCTTAACTTCATGTGTGCCTTCACTCCATTGTACATCCTGTCTTGTACTATATTATCTATGTTTTCTACACTTTATCACAATCACTGAAGTACACAATCTTGTTCTGTTGACTTCTGTTGACTCCACTTCTCAATAACATTTTCATTCTTTACTCTTATCTATTTTCCCAACACCACATATTCTTTTGAGATTATCAATTTCTATTGCTATAATTTTCATTTTCAAACCACACCATTCTCACAACCATACACAAGAGTGAGCACTTCTTGTCATTTGTGCAAATCCTTGGCAGCATCTATTCATACCTTGTTAGTCTCCTTTTGTGTAACTTTTGAACAAAAAAAATTGAAAATGGCTACAGATTTGTCAAAACATTTCCCACCTCTTTGTCTTTTACTTTTTTTCCATCTCCTTCCCCCTTTCCTTCCATCAGATAATGACTGCTCAAAGGCTTACTCAGCATCTATTAAATATTGTCATGCATATAATTACATTTTTCTCAAGAAAGAAAAACCTAATTAAAAGATAATTTCTTATATATTTTTGCTATTTAAAATGAGTATTATGCTAAGTGATCTGCTTTTCATATACAGTATATATTTTCTCCCTGTAAAATGACACTATTTCTACCAGTACAAGGTGGATGAATTAATAATATTTTTACCAACTAGCAGTTTTAATGAAATTCTTAAAACTGCTAATAACTTTCATCAGTTTGTTTGGCCTCTTAATCAGCATGCTGTCTTTATATTAATTTTGTTGATTTGGTTGTGGTTTTTGCAGAATGTAAAAGCCTTTAGGACTAAGCAGCTTCAGACAAGAAGTAAATGAGGGAGTATTTACAAATGAGTTTGCAGCAAAGGTTTGCTTTTTTTAGTGTTACGCACTGCACAGCAAGCACTCCACGTGATACTGCTTCACTTCTATTCAAGCAAAGCTTTAACATTACTTTTAAAGAAAGAAGACTTTGTTGGTCTATCCCTAACCTTGCTATGATTCTTACAGCTAAAATTTTGCAATTGTTATATAGTAAAACAATTATTTCAACAAAAACTTAAAATCTAATTCCTGAGATAATCCTATTGGTTGAAATGTGGGAATTAATGATAAACAAAATTGAACCCAATGGATTTTTCTTCCTCACACCTTGACAAATTGCTACAGGTATATTTCGTAATGATATTGATAGAATTTACCAGTGATTGGTTGGATCATTTTAAGTCTGCATCCCAGCCCATGGTCAGGCTTTCCTCACCAGTAAGGCTGTAGCTATTCACAGCCAATAAACCCACATAGCCATCACAATTGAGCTGACCAAGTCCTCTCCGTAGGAACTTGGTTAGTTCCATCTTGAAAAGTTCTTCCTTTGTTCTGGCAATGTTTTTTTTTATTTTCTAATGTTGTTGAAGAGTTGTTTGTGTGCACTATTTATGACACAACTTTTTTTCATTTTCTCTGCACTAGCAATAATTTTGCAAAAGTTATTTTTGTGCTGCAGATTGACTATAATCCTGACTATTCTCCATGCATAATAACATGATGTATGTTTGCAATGTTCAGTATGAATACTTGGAGCCCTTCCCTGTTGTTTACATGCTTTACTGTTTTTGAGAACATTTTTATTGGGGAAGGTTAGTAACTCATGTTTCTTCGGCTTCCAAACTATGAACCAGATTTTGAACTATTCAGAAGCTGTCTCATATTGTCTGCTTTGAAGGTTTCAGTAGGAATTAATACAAGAGTAGCAATAAATATATATACTCCTTAAACAGGGCCCAATTTGCAAGAAAATAATAAGTAGGAAATACATAAGCAGGGAAGAATTTCCTCTGTGAGGATCTAGGAATAATGACAAGGGAGAGGGATGCTCATGTGTTGTAGTTTCACGTGGAATATGATATAGAACGTAATTCAGTGTTAGTATGTAATGGATACAATACAGTTTGAGGCCAGTATTGCATTGTTATTGCTTATTTATTTTTCCTATTCCAATGAAAATTACACCATTGCTTGTATGTACAAACATTGTTGGCCTTCATGTCCACTTTCTCCAAAGTTTACACCTGACACTCCAGTGATGGAAGCTTTGTGTAAATGATTGTTGTTTGTGTCGTGGTCATTCCTTTTCATTCGTGGGCATTTATCTTCATTAATGGGTTCCCGGTTTGGTGCCTTCTTTTGATAATTACTTCATTAATGGGTTTGAGGAAGAAAAATTTGCATGATATTAAAGACTTGGGAATTTAACTAGCCTGATAAAATAAAGGAACACTTTATTTCTATCTTCTGATTTAACTAGCCCTTTGTTACCGATATTAGTGAGCTCTCCCGATATGTATCTAAGTAGATGATTTAGGACACACACGGTGGCAATTGCTCATGACTTTCCAAAGATATAGATGCACAGTATAGACAGTAGACTTGTGCTTCTGTGCACAGGGATTGAAGTTACTTTTACTGAGGTGGAATTTTTAACACATTTTAGATCGGTTATTTTTGTGTTTTTTTCTCATTGTTCTTAAGTGCACAAATAATGTGTTTTATTAAATGCTTTAACCCAAAAACATACTTGATTACAGAATTTTAAATTGTTAAAACAAAGTGAAATACAGTGGAACCTCGAATAACGAATTTAATCCGTTCCGGCGCCGTGATCGTCATGTGAAACGGACGTCATACAAAACGAATGTCCCCATTGACATTAATGGAAATCAAATTAATCCGTTTTACCACCGAAAAACATGAATATGATATTCGACGTTTTAAATAATGGAGCAGCCTGCCTTACATAAACTGAACAAACCTTTGACATTTTTCTTTCTTCAAATTTGTTCAATTTTTTTTTTTTTTTTTTTCATTTGTCTTACAGCAAAAGGTTCGTTTGGTGTTCGGCAGGTAGGCTGCTCCATGTTATATCTTGAGGTTTTCTTGAGATGATTTCGGGGCTTTTTAGTGTCCCCGCGGCCCGGTCCTCGACCAGGCCTCCACCCCCAGGAAGCAGCCCGTGACAGCTGACTAACACCCAGGTACCTATTTACTGCTAGGTAACAGGAGCATTCAGGGTGAAAGAAACTTTGCCCATTTGCTTCTGCCTCATGCGGGAATCGAACCCGCGCCACAGAATTACAATTCCTGCGCGCTATCCACCAGGCTACGAGGCCCATGTTTCTTAAATAAAAAAAAAAAAAAAGAAAAACAGAACAAATGTCAAAAAGGTTCATTTGGTGGTCAGCAAGTAGGTTGCTCCATGTTTCTTTAATAAAAATAAAAAAAGGTTGAAACAATTTGAAAAACGGACAAATGCCATAAAGGTTCGTTCAGTGTTTGTCGGGTAGGCTGCTCCATTATAGCAATCTTTCTTTGTTTCAAATGTGTTCTATTTGTTTTGTATTTTTCATATATTGTACGTCTTAGTAATGGAGCAGCCTACCCGACAAACACTGAACGAACCTTAATGGCATTTGTCTGTTTTTCAAATTGTTTCAACCATTTTTTTTTATTTTTCGTTTATTTTCTTATAATTATTTAAGAAACATGGAGCAGCCTACCTGCTGAACACCGAACGAACCTTTGACATTTGTTGTACATATTTCAAAATATTTAATTTTTTTTTCTACAAAAAAATCAATAATTTGCAACATCTCAGCAGTCACCTCTTTATATCCCACCATCATTAGCATCTTTAAACAAAAATAACATAATTTATTTGCATCATCGGAAGCGTCCAAGAATGTGCAAGAAGCAGCGCGACCCCACCATGTGGTGTCGTCGTTATTCAAACATGAGGGTCACCATACGAGACGAATTGTCGGGGATCAGGCCGGTCGTTACCCAAAATGTTCTCCATTTGAGGCAATCGTTATTTGAGGTACCACTGTAATAGTTTTAGTCAATTAATAATAAACATTTTTGCATTGAAAGCTTTATAGCTTATTCATTAAATTTCTTGTAATGTGGCAATAAATATTCAACATTTAATATACAATACATTATACAATATAAAGAATTTTGTTCAGCCAACCATGCACTTTCTGCACAACGTACGTAGTTGCCTCAACTTGGTGCCTTCTTTTGATAATTAATTATTTACTTTTCAGGACAGTGTAGGAGCTTGACAGTTTAAAAAGCTTTAGTTGATAATCTTGATCAACCTAAAATTTTAGAGAAAAATTAATGAACCCAATTTTTTTGTGCTTTATTGTACACTAATGTTAATTTAAATGTCATCCACACTTCTGTGGAAGTAAACCTTTCATTCACCTGGGCTCTGGGGAAGACTACTACTACTTCCCGGGAAAATTTAAAATTCCAGCATAGCAGTACATAGTTGCTTCTGGAATGTTTCCTTAAGATTACTCACAGCCGAGTTGATAGAACATGTACCTCACCTGCGTGGGGTTCATGGTTCGAGTTTCCTAGAGCCCAGATGAATGAAACTGTTGTTAATGGTGTATAGTTGTCTAGATGGTTTGTGTGGTGGATGCTGATGAAAACAGCTTTTGTAATTGTTAATTGATGGGCTACATAGCGCTGCATTAGCTGACAGCCTCTCCATTAGTTTTCAAAGTTCCTATATCAGCCATCAATATTGACACTGCTTAAGGATTATTGACTTTTAAAATACCCCCGTCTTCTCCATGAACAGCTACCCCTATGACTGGCCGTTTCATATTTCTAATTTTTTGCCTGTACCTCTTGCATTTGGCAGCATAATGAATACATTTAACCTTAGCTTTTCTGTACTCTGCCTTTGTATTTTATATATCTTCATTACTTTCACTTCAGGCTAAATATCAAAGATAATTGATTTGCTCTTAATAAGGTAATATCAGAGTTGTCTTGCTGTTCACTTGAGCAAACACGCCTCCCAGTGGTATGCCACGTTCAGCATTTATTACTACTACTCAGTATTATTTTCAAATGTCATTACTCGATGCTTTCTCTAGGCTTTGCTGCTTGTTGAAACTTTTTACCAACACATTTAGTCATCATTTTGCACATTTTTTTATTTTATATATTTTTTGTAGATAAATCCAGGGATGACTGCTTGAGTACCAAACCGCAAAACAGAACTGGGTTAGTAGACATGGGCTGGTAGGGTGCATGTGAGGGACTTGTTTTATGCTTCGGGTGGCTGGATGGCAGCCTAGGACACCCTCCTTCTGTGCTCATTATTTTACCATATTCAAATTAATCGAAGCTGAGAAGCTTACTAATGTGTACAACATGTGCCTGTAAAGTGCATACTGTAGTTGGTTATATAATAATTTGGAATGCATAACATTTTCCAGTGATTAATTTTAACAAAATACTGCACAGATTAATAAAATGTGGTATCTCAATATCTCAAGGGGGCACATTCCTGCATAAGTCTAGTGTATTTTAAATTCTCTCTAATCAGTGCATACAGTTTAAAACCATTTGAAATGAGCATATTTCTTAGACCAGCTTGAGTATGGCATTCATCCTCATATTTGGCAAATTTATTCATGTGCATGCACTTTCACATAAAAATTTCTATGCAATTGTAATGCATTAGTGTAATATTTTAGAGAAACCTTGGTAGCATAGTGACTAAGCATTTTTTGTTGTTTCTTAGCAGCTTTTACAATTATATGCAAGCCTGTGCCTACACACACACAGCACACACTTAATAAAGAACGAGAACTAGGGGTGGTTTTGGATAGTAAGCTGTCGCCAGACAAACACACAAAGAATGTTGAGAGGAGTGTGTGCATTGCTTTCCAACTTCAGATTTGTTTTTAATTATACGGATGGATAAATACTAAAAAAAACTGTTCACGACTTGTGAGACCAAAATTGGAATATGCAGCAGTTGTATGGTCTCCAAATCTCAAGAAGCACACAAACTGGAAAAGATGCAATGGCACGCTACAAAAAGTTTCCGGGACTGAAAAACAAGTTTCGAGGAGAGACTATAGGCATTAAACATGCCAAAGCTAGAAAATAAAAGAAAAAGGTGATATGATCACCATTTATAAAATACTAACAGGAATTGACCAAATTGACAGGAATTCCTGAAACCAGCAACTTCATGAACAAGAGGACAGATTCAGGCTAAGGAAACAAAGGTGCCCAAAAAATATTAGTTTTCTTTTGCAAACAGAGTGGTAGATGGTTGGAACAAGTTGAGAAGGTGATGGAGGCCAAAACTGTCAGTAATTTCAAATCGTCATACAACAGAGTACGTACTGGGAAGTCGGGACACCACGAGCGTAGCTCTCATCCTGTAACTACACTTACTCATGCACAGCATAAATTGAGAACAAGTTTGCTGATGATGCTTAGATACTAAGGAAGATAATTAATTTAGAGGACTGTTATGCCCTTCATAAAGACTTGAACAAAATAAGTGTATGGAGCACTACTTGGCAAATGGAATTTAATGTCACCTTTAGTACTACAGTATATTGCAAAATTGGCCATCTCATTGTGTATGAATGGACAAAATTTGGACCTTGACCACCAGTCAAGTTATGACACTACCATTTTGAAGCACTCATCTAGAGATTCAGCATCATCACTGCTACACGTTTCGTCAGCATGTGACCATATTTGGTGTGAAGAGATACCCTGACAGGACGAAACCACCTGTAGTGACTGTAGGAGTATATGATTGGATGTGAGGGAAGTGTGAATGAACCTGTATATAAAATACAGTACTCAATTTGAAACTGTTTCCATGTTGTATCGGTGTTTGTGAGGTAGATTACCTGATAGTACTCTCCCACTGAAACACCTGTAACAGCTGGGATTAGAAGTATGAGGACTAGCAGGTAAAACAGATGACTCGTTTTATTGGAGAAGTTCCTTGCCACCTGATTTGAGTGTTACACGTTAAGTGGCGGGGACATGAAAGTAATTATATTCACCTCATATGTAGACAGTTAATTCTTAGATGTCCATTTGACATCCCTGTGTATTGGATTTCATTTACATGTGCATGCCAAACATCAAGAGTAGTGTGCCACTAGTCCCTTGAAATTGCTAAAGTAATTAGGAAGCAGTTTTAAGTAATTGGGTGATCATTACAGTGTTAAGTTTGATGGTGCTACATAGCCTTCTCGGTTTGGTGCCTTCTTTTGATAATTACTTAGTGTTAAGTGAGGCTGTTCCTTTGAGAGCAAATATATAATTTAAGTGGGACTATCATATGTCCCCTGGTTTTTTATCAGTTTTGTGTAACCCTTGTGTAAAGTAAAGAAACTCCTAATGTATTGTGTTCATTTTAATGAACGCATTTTAACTTGGATACATTTTAATAAAGCCTTTTCTCCTTTGAGATAGACTCCCTATTGGTACTGTATCCTGAAATGGCACTAATGAAGGTGAAGGAAATGTTTACAGCATCTTAAGAGGATGTAGGTTGCATCCAAAAATTTGGCTTTTAATGCACTTACACATGTATTGGGTCTTTCCTTCACTTTCAGGCGAAAGTGAAGGAAAGTAAAGTTCAGCATTGTAGTAAGTTTCTCCATGACACTAATGTTAATCAATTAATCTATAAATTATTGATGTGGGCCATATTGTTCTCCCTGCCCAAGAACTGTTCAATAACACATTCTACCCAACATGACCATTGCCTTTGGAATACTTATGAGGGAGGCCATCATCTGTAAGGCCCTCACCTCGACGACTTGCCTTTAGTAGATGTGTCGTGGCTCTGGCAAATACTTTTTAACCCTTAGGCTGCGATTATTGTCTATTGACGATCCCTAGGGGACTGCAGTAATCATTAAAAGACCAGTTAAACAATTATTGTCTGGGTTTTAAATGTATGATGCAAATGTGGATATAATAGGTCTATGTGGATGTAATGGCATTTACCATGACCCATAAAAAAAAAATCCTGCTATTTTATGGTATGAATGCTGTCATTGTCATGAATGTTACTAGGTGAATGCAGTCATCGTCATATGACGATTTAAACAATTATTGTCTGGGTTTTACATGTATACAATATGGTTATAATAGTGCTCTGTAGATGTAAATAAAGAAAAATAAATGATAAAACAATTGGTGAAGCATCCGAGGATAAAACAGGAAGCGTCGGCAAAGTAGAGTGCCGGGCGTTGAAAAGTATAGTGTCAGCCGCAGCGCCTCCACTCCACTATATCGTATGGCTTGGCACTTTATCCTGAGAGTTCCCTTCCCTTCGACTCAGTGAAACTCTATATACTCACATTTTCATGTTTTTCTTAAATACAAATTAATCATTTTATAATGATAATTCTGGGGAAATTTTTACACAGGTATTGGGTCTTTCCTAGGCAGCATTGCAGGTGGAGGTACAGTACTCTAAAAATAGTACAATCCTACATGTAGTTTTGTGGATGGCTCCATAGTACCAAAGTAAATGCACCACATAGCTACTATGGCCACCCAGAAAAGGAAGTTTCTTTACATTGTTTGATTTTTACATTTAACTTCAGTCCTGTGTGAGATTGTATTATGATGGCTTATGTGCTTTTTAAATTAGTTTGCAAATAATAACTAAATATGTGAAGTAATGTAAGACTAAAGTAACTGAAAATGTTGCATGCATCTTGGGTAATGGGTGTAAGTGGTTATTGCTGCCCACGACCTTAACATCTCGCAGTACAGTATTTGGCCCTCGCTGCCAATATTATTATGATGCACTTTCATAATACAGATTTATTATGAAAGTGTAAAATCCCTTTACAGATTTTGTATATAATTAATTTTTAATTTGATATACAGTAGTCAGCATTTGCTTGCACATTCAATATTATAAAGATTATCCTTAAATTATTATTTTCATGGAAATTTTCATTAGTTTAATGACAAGGATTTAACCTTTATATAAAAATTTTAACATTTGCAATGCAGAAAATGGCTACAGGTTGTAATTTATTTTTAATTATAATAAAATTTATAATGCTGCCATTGGTTATTTTTGTTTCAGAGAATCAACCAGATCGTCGTATCGACCGTTTGTTGTACAGAAATCTGCTACTTTGCCCCCTAACTCTAACTTAAGTAGAAAATAGTGAATTCTTAAGCCCTTCCCTGTTTTCTCACCTTGAGGAATTTTAGTGGCTCTCTGAGATTGCCTTGAATATAAAATCAAAGAAATTCTTACTGGCATTTCTGAAACTATTTAGACTTACGGATATCTGCTGAATCCCTCCACAATGCAGAAAAACAATTGTTTGAACAAGTAATTGAGGTATTGTCTTCGAGTCAATGTGACAATCGCCTCACCTTGAAGATAAATGACTGTGCAAAACGGATGTTGTTTTGGCCAGAAAGATATTAGTGTATTGAGGACAAGTGCCTTATGAAGTCCTAGTTAATAATACTTGATTATGTGCATTATTTAAAGTCCTGTTATTCTCCCTCAGAGACAAGTCTTTGTAGTGACATAATTATTAAAGTAATATTTTGCTGAATTGCTCGTAACAGAAGAAGAGTAAGAATTTTTGGTACAAGAAAGCCTTATTTTGTATGTTTCTAATTATCTGTAATACTTAATGCTTCCAGTATACATACATAAGTTGTCCTCCTTTATCGTCCATTACCACATCAGACTGCTGCAAGTGAGTTAATGCAAGGAAACAAATGACTGCATTGTGTTGTGTGTGTTTTGTGAAGTCACCTAACTGTAAGCAGTCACAAGTTCAGTAATTTACTCAAGGCAGTATTTTGTGTGTGTGCACGTGTGTATTTTGTAATTAATAAATTTCATGGAAAGTGTAAACATTCCCAGTATTTTATGACCCTCTGTGTTATCCTTAGTATTTAACAATTGGAAAAAAATTTATCCTTTAAAATAATTAAAAACAACAAAAATTTGCCTTGGTGTCAAACTACTGTACTTTGTGGCTGTGCTTGTTGTGTAAATATTGTCCTGCATGAATGTGGTCTTGAATGTGAATAATGATAGTAAATCATAATCAGAAGTTGATAGTTGTGGTTGAACAAGACAAGATTTTTTTATATATACAATTTGTATGAATAATTATAATAAACTGATAACCTAGAAGTTCAAAATGCAAGTGATTCCATGATGAGTCTTGAAAGTTAGGCTGGATAGTTCAGATGGGACTTTGCCGAGTCTACTGGTAGTGTGCTGCTTGTTATATAGCACCTGTCAAAGCTAAGCTGTCTTTGAGTTTAGTGCCACCCATCTCCATCCTGAAATTCTTACATGCCCTCTTGTAATTTTGGTTTCTTTTTATATTTATATATCACATCTACTGGAATACGAACTCGTCATCACCTGTGGAACTCTCATGATGCTTTCACTCGCCATTCCTCCCAAACTAAGGGTCTAGTCTGGATTGAAGCATCAGTTGAGTACTGCTGAGTAAGCTAGAATTTATAAGTACTATTATTATTTCCCCCTATTTGTCACACAAGTGAAGTCATAATGCATTAACCTAGCAGGAATAAGCTTCAGTGTCTTGTCATTTATAAAGGTAAATTGTCATGTATATCCAAACCAGTGTTGTTCAGCATAGGTAATCGTTAGTAAAAATGTCTTTAATATTATTCAGGGTGGTTCATACTTCAGTTACCAGTTGTGTAGCCGCTATATATTAGTGTGCACTTGGCTAGTAAAAGTCTGTGCTGATTACTTGCTATCTTTGTTCATAACATGATCTTACTGACTTCATTCCACTGCTTGTTATTCTTCTTTTTGACTTGTATTACACAATGACAGTCACCATTTTGTGGACACATGACAAATTTGCTTAGTTGAAGAGAGCACAAAGTGGTGACAGTGATGTGAAGGACCACCAATAAGAGTGTAGACTTCATTTGTAGATGTTTTGCCTGTTAGGGCATTACTAAATCTCGTATTTGATAATACCCTTATAGGTGAAATTTTATTTACAAATGATATCTTTCATCTCGGTTGTTCTCTATGTCCTCGTCTAGGGAAACTTCCATTTCTTTCTTTGACTTTAGATTATCCTTGTACTGTTGCTGTGTACAAAAATAACTACATATGCATGTGAATGAGGAAGATTGTTTCTTTATCATGGCTAATAATTAGGATGCTAATTGCTTAAAGTTTTCACATAAACTTTCATTTTGATCCATGCTGAAACCATAGAAATCTCAGTTCCTATAAAATGCCTAATAATCTTGCTGTTGTAATTAATGATGATGCAATATCATAACACTAGTAGTAGTGTACCATGTTATAATGTGCCCAGGTTCTCTTATATCAGGTAATGTACATAATAAGTTTTTTTTTCTCACAAGATCAGAGATGAGTTGCACTTCATAAATTGTGAGGTATATTCAGAAAACATGTTCCTGTTATCCTACAATAATATTCCACATTTCAAAATGTTATGTTCATTACTCAAACATACTACTAATATATTCTCGAATAGATGTACGATTTAGGATGCCAACAGAGTTCTCAAGAAAATGAAGTTATTGACTTGAATCATAAATATAAAGATATTGTGTAGGGGGGTGGGAAGGAATTTTCTATAAATTACAACACTATTTGATGTGATGCACAACCTGCATCATATAATAGCTGCTGGTTACAACTTGAAAGTGGAAATTTATTACAGTACTTTTTTTTTATATAGGGAGTTGTAATGCAATTTTAAATGTGCCATATCATTTTATGTTTAGATGTTTTATTTACACTTTTTACAGTACTGTATCATGTTAATGACAAAATAGGGTAAGTACACACACCAGAACTATCATATTTGGTAAGCCATTTAATTTTAAGTGTCTGAAGCATTATTTTGATTTTGGAACACATTCATTTCAGTTTGTGGAAATTTTCATGGAGATTTTCAAATTATATAAACTTGTATTTTTTTCAATTTGAATAATGTTAATTATAATTATCTGTATATTCAGTTGGCTAAAGAGACATCTGCAAATATTATTATTTGGTTAGTGCTTGAATTGTAACAAGTTGAATGACGGTTTTATTGTAATTAAACTTCTTAACTTTTATTAAGTAAATAAAAGTTAAAAGGGGGCATGTTTTTGGAAATTTTATCTATTTAACAATATCTATTAACTGCCTCAAGCCTTATCCATTATGCATCACCTTCAATTATAATGACTGTAAGGAAGAATAATTTTAACATTAATTATTGATAAGACCTAAGTCTTGGGGTGTAAATTGGATGATTACTTCAAGAATTCTATTTAGTACTTTCATGCACAGCACATGTACTTTCATTTTGACATAATGCTAGCAAGTTTGAAGGATAAACACCCCCCATAAATGTAGCAATTCCAGTATTATTACCCCATTTCTTACCATCATTGGGTGGGGGAGGTATATGTCAGGAGATAAACATTGTAAACACAAACATTGTTTGTGGTACTGTGTACCACAAACAAGCAATCGCTATCACACTCCAACACACTCGGCATCACACTACCACTTTGTAAGACCAGTTGTACAGCTCTCCAAATGCATTTTCTTGTAACAGAGTTCATGAAACTAAGTAACATCAGCATAAAACACAATTTAATTGAAAGTAGGACACTAGACAGTCTTCTCCTTTTGAAACTGAATTTGCTAAATTACAATGATGGACTTGTTTTAGTAAATACTGTACATTTTTTAGGTTAACCATTTAGTTATGTAAATGCATATTTTTATTATTGTATGAGTCCTTGTATGAGGAATATGAAGCTGCCAAGTGTGTGTGTACCAGCTTAGGAATGAGGATAAAATGTACAGGTAAATGCATTTGGTTAACAATTTTTTTTCCTTTTTCTGTCTCTTTCTCGAGTGGAGGTGGTGGTTTGCAGAAGATGGGCTTCCTTAAAAATCCTTGTAGTATAATTCGACTATTTAAATCTGGGAGCATTCTGAATATCTGAAATATTGTTTTGTTTGACTCTCGCCAAATTTTCTGGATTTCTCGGTTAATAATATACAGTAGTGTATTTTTAGCATATTGCATATTCAGGTATACAAATATTATATAAAGAATTATATAGTTTACATGTAAATAATAATTATAGAGAAAATTAATACATCACATTTATTTGTTCCCTTAGCACAGGCTGGTCTTGATAACCCAGAGGCAGCAAATGCAGTTTTAGTACAATGTCATGCCATGTATTACACTTCTGATCCCACCTTGAAGACCTTAATGCCCATGGTTAGTGCTATTATTTCAACTAAATGTAACTATGGCCCATCAATAACCACCCCCAGGCATCAATGTTGTACTTACCAGTCAGTGTGTAACAGGCAGTGAGGTCTAGGGCACTGTGCCGCACCTGCTAGCTTTGTTGTACCTGTTGCATTATAATTTTAACTATTCTGACATTTTTCTTTGTCGAATCTCTTGTAATCCAAAATCCTGGTACAGTACTCTGAAAGTTGGATTGTCACTATAATTACCACCACTGCATTCCCTTTTCTTCAATATGATCTGGTCTCTTTGCTTTATCTTTGTAAATACTACTGTAATACCGATTCCTTTCTTGTACCAGCCACAATCACATTTTTCTAATACTGTATCCTGTCTTTCTCTTTCACAAGGAAGTTTCTTCTACCTTCGTTTGATGCACCCATATTATTCTTGCCAGACAACATGGTTTCAATGGTCAGATACTGTCATGATTTATCAGAAGAAAAATCAATGAAAATGCTTGAGTATTGAGAAGTCAGACAGCATTTTTACATGGGGAAAACACATGATCAATATAGGTTCTGTTGCATCAATAGTAGTTTCACTTGAATTTTTTAACAATGTATAGTGTAATGCAAGTTTAGGAAACGTGTGTAAAATATCCAGTACAGTATATGCCTTTTTGATAATTACTGATTCTTCCATTATCCAATTTTTGAACAAGGAATAAATAATTGTGAAAAACAGTGAGCAGATTTGATGTTTTGAGGTATTCATTATATGGAAGCCTGCATTTTGAGGGAGCGAGTATGTAAAATACCTCAAGGATAAAATTGTGTGGAAACTGCATTGCAGGATTGTCAGGCATTGATGTAAGCAATGAAACACAATGTGCATCTCATCACTTTTGCAATACTGTAGTAATTAATTTTTACTGCCTTATTGTTTTAAATTAATTTAAAAATAACATAGTAATTTACACAGCTTAATTATTGCAAATCTAATAGCAAGTTTTGAAAGTTGTTAAATTTTTTTAATTTTCAGCCTCTCTTTACATATGATTGACAATATTAAGGTTTGGTTTGCAGAAAAGGCCAGAATGTACTAACTGCAAGTGGTGGCTGTTGTGGTTCAGATGGTTCAGAATGCATTAGTTACCAGGGATTAGGGAAGTTCATATACGTACACTCTAAAAAAAATATTTTACATAATAAAATTGGTAATGCACCAGTTATTAAAAACACTGCAAGTACATCTAATGTGAAAATCTGAATTAAGGTTGCTAGAGTAAGCTTATGTGGCATATATTTAAAAAAAATAAATTTGCAATTCAGCTTGAGAGAAATCCTTATGGAATATGTGAAGAATATATTGCTGTGATAAGGTATATGTATTTAGATGTAAGGAACTGAAAGGGATTGGGTGGTGGTCTCCAGTTTTGTGGATACTGCTGCGGATACTTATGTGCTTTTAAATACTCGTGTTGGACATGCTGCAATAGTGCAATGTAATTGTTTACCCTGCCACACCTTACCGTCTGTTTTTGTTACTTCCCTTCAGTATCGGCACAAACAGGAATACCTGCATTCACAAAGTCACGTTTTGCAGTACTGTTAAATGTATACTATTAATTTGTTTTCATCTCTAATGTATACTATAGTGAAATATTTATTATTCCATGACCAATTTTGCATTATTTTGAAGTAGCTGTGATTTTCTTCAGTTTTATGATCTAATAAGTTAAAGGGCAACCATCTCATATGGGAACTATTCTCTTGTGGCAAAACAGTCAGTGAAATTTGATAGACTAATCGTAGGGCACGTTTCAAGTGATGTACTGTAGTTTACCAATGCCTCAGAAATAGAATTTGAAATAGGATGAAAATTCCTGTTATCTTGACAGTGTTAGGCCTATTTGTGTTTTATCAGTAAATGTTTATATTTTACCTTGGATTGTGTATTTCTACATAGGCATTATTTGAAGCATTATGTCTACAGTCTACTCATCTTTTTTCATAACACTGTTGAAAGTGGTACATTTTAATCCCAAACTAAGCCCGTTATTATTGGTGTAACCACATTATCTGGGTTTATTTAAAAGTAAATGTTGCGTACAAATCTCGAATCCCACCCAGCTTTCACTGACCCATGTCCTGAGCTTCAGGGATCTTAAGGGATCATTGTTTTGCAATGTTAGAAATAATAAGGTTTATGGTCAACTAATGGTAACCTTTCTCTTAAGTAAATTTTGTAGGCATTTGGACAAATTCTGATAAAGCTCATAAATGGAAAATCTAGGAATTGTATCCTCCCAGTTTTTTTTTCTTGGAACTTGATATTTCCTCAGTTTCAATATTGAACAAGCTTTGTATATGGCTGTTACTTTAAAAATATTTTGTGTACCCTGTGGGTGACACACTCAGTGATTAGCATTTAAGGGAGAGAGTCCCAGTTCCAGCTTGTTGCCTCAGTATCCAAGAGTCCCTCTGAAGGTATCCCAGTCGGTGAATTTGCTGGCTTTTCTGCAAATTGTTTTTATCAGGTCTTACATTTGAACTTTGTAACAACTTATGACTTGGTTATTGCAGTTTGTCATCTTGTTCTGCGAAAAAAGTATATTTGAAGTTGAATTATCCAAAGAGGAATGGCTGCCTGTGGGTTGTGTAGAAGAGAACTTTCTGAAAAAGTAAATTTTTATGAAAAACTTTGTTGCTATCATTCAAACCAATAAGCTACCATATCTTTGAGAGGCTAAAGGTGTGATTCTTGATAATCCCTAGCATCCACAGCACTGCAGGAATATTGCCTAGATAACTGGAAATGTTTATTGGAAGTAATTGCTTTGCTATGTCCCAATAATTGAAGTCTTTCCATACAAGACTCATTTATTGATGTGTGTGTTTATATTGTGTAGACATTTTTAATTTTTTTATGCTGCAAAAGTACAATGTACCCGGTAATTGTTTTTCTTTGCCTCACTTCGTTTTTTTTTTTTTTTTTTTTTTTTTATTATTTAGTGCCTTAGTGATATTTAGCGCATTTTGAACATTCCGCACATTTGATGGTGCTATAATGTTCCCCCGGCTTGGTGCCTTCTTTTGATACTTGATAAATTACTTACATTTATTATCACAATGAATAGGAACACATGCATCTATTCATGATTTGTAGTACTGTTAGATACATCCTAATACCAGGATAAGGGCCCTTGGTTTTTGTTCACATTCCCGGAACTATTCCTACTAGGTCCTCTTGACCTTCCCAATACAGGCAGTATCCTAACTTATGTTTAGCCCCTCTTAACATCCCCCCACCCCTCATTCTCTTGAAAAATAGTCCTTAAAACACTTCGATTATCAAATATGAAAATGTAAATTTTCTTTATAATTACTTATTTCATAAAACTGTGACGAGTAGTGACACAACCGCTGCCACTATGTAACTACCATTTTCTACTCTACTAATATTGTAATACTTAGAAATGTATCATCACTGGTCCGTCATACGTATAACACATGCAACTGATTCCTTGAATGAACTGTGCTCTGCGTAGGCAACTTAAGGGGGAGAGAAGAAAGAGGGGGGTTGGGAGTGAGAGAAATGTTAGCTGCTACGGTCACACTGCAACCCGTCCTTTCAAAATAACTTCGCTTTTCGCTTGTATGCGCGCTATAGCCGAAAAGTGACGTAATTTGAAATGAAATTGGCTCGCGAAAGTGATGTACTGTCCTATTTTCTGGTTGGGATCCTCCAGCTTAGTCTGTTAGGTTAGGAGAGAACACTTTTAATTAACGTTTTTCATGACGTTTTGACAAGTTGATATGACTACCCAATATGCCACCGCGGTGATATTTCTCGCCTTTTGAATATTCAGCTATACTGGTGGTGCTTCGTAGTCTCTCCTGGCTTTGTGCTTTTTTATAATTTTTGTCTCGCTCATGCACTCACTAACGCCCCCCCCCCCCACTCACAAGACGAGTTCTTGGATGCTGATCGAACTTTGTGAGAGACTATTTTGGGTCTTAAGCAGCAGGAGGAAGATAGTAATAGTGAAAATCAGGAGATTGGACTAGATAGTAGTAACAATTAAGCTGAATAACTCTAGTAACGGTGCTATGACCCATTGTTTCTTATATGTCGGTAGCCTAATGGAATTCAGGGATACCCCAATAACGTTTAAAACAATTAGGAAAATCATTAAAAAAGTAAAGGATTCTAGATCCCCAGATGTGGATGGAATTGTACAGGCACTGGTAGAGTAACAGTCCATCGGCTGAAACTCCTATTTAAAAAATCTCTGGACTAAGTTCTAGATTGAAAATAGGCAAATGTCACGCCTATGTTAAAAAACTGCAGAAAACTACGGACCGATCAGCCTAACCTCTCATATCTACAAAGCTTATTTAGAGAATCTTAAGAGGGAATCGTTCACCGTCTCCCAGCGTTAAATCTAGTAAAATCAACGCAACGTGGTTTTATAATTCAAAGGAGTCCCAGTTAACGTAGTATACTTGGTCATCTCTAAAGCTTTTGATGAGGTACAACATGAAAGACTGGCAGGAAAATTACAAGCACATGGAGTAAACGGTAAAGTAATTGAATGGATTAAAGATTGTCTTACCAAAGAAAGTAAAGGTTCGTCCTAAATGGAAAAAAATCTAACTGGAGAAATAGGATTGAGCGGGGGGGTTCCCCAAGGTTCCATCTTTGGACCAACCCATTTTTGTTGTACGTCAGTGACATGAGAATATTACAAACCACATTATCAGATTTACAGATGATGCCAAGATCTACGGTAAAGTAGGAAGCTAAAACAATACCGAGGCCTTAGAGTGACTACATGACCTTCACAAATGAAATACTGGCAAACGCTCTTCAATATTAATACAATGCAAGATCTTGCATAAAGGGCATAACAGTGCGCATCACAACTATCAAATCAACGACACTACCATGCAGCAGACCAAAGAAGAAAAGTACCTAGGTCAGAAGCATTCAGTCTTCCCATTTGTGCATTGAAGGTGCACAAATGGGAACTGCAGTTCCCATTTTCTATTCCTAAGGCCAACCAAACCGTAAGAATAGCCGAACAAACCTACGATTTCAAAGAAAAGGTGGTGATTATTCAAGTCTCGTGTGCGCCCACATTTGGACTACTGTATCCAAGAATGGAGACCTCATCTTCAGAATATATCCGACTCTGAGAAACTACAACGCAAAGCGACAAAAATTATTCTAGAACAAAGTCGACTCTAATACCAGGAAAGGTTGACGCCTACAGAACTAAGAACACTGCAAACCAGAACGTCCACTACGGGCTCACCATACTTGGAACTCTTGTTCACAGTAGCTGTATTTAAAACAACAACAACATGCAAACCAGAAATGACAAGGAGGAACTTACAGAAACTTTTAAAATATTGCCCAAGCTGGAGGATACTAATTCAGATCACTTAATTCAAAGGTCACACATAACACATACAAGGAGCAAGAGCTTCAAGCTCAATAAGCCACAGAGTAGGACTGAAAACAAGTGGTGCTATTTCACCCACAGTATTTGCATAATACCTTAAAGACATTGCATTTTGCAACCCGTTCTCGCAAATTCGTAAAGTCAATATTGACTTATTAACTACGTGCATAGGTGATATACTAAACATAATAGATACCCCTAAAAATATTCATAGAAAACACCGACCTTACCTAACCTTGTTAGTATCTTAAGATAAGCATCTTATTGCTTCGTAATTCGCCCCTAAATCAACACAACATTGCTTCGTAATTACAATTATTACTTAACCTAAACCTATTATAGGTTAGGTAATAATTGTAATTACGAAGCAATAGGATGCTTATCTTAAGATACTAACAAGGTTAGGTAAGGTCGGTGTTTTCTATGAATCGTTTTAAGGGTATCTATTATGTTAAATATGTCACCTATGCACATATTTAATAAGTCAATATTGACTTATTAAATTTGCGAGAACGGGTTGCAACCTACGGTGAAGACATTGCATACTACTTCGCTTGAGATTTTGCGTACTACCTTGAAGACATGGCGTTCTACCTTGAAGACGTTACATACTACCCCAAGGATAATGTTAGAATATGTGGCCAATAAACACAAATTTTTTAACTTATGAGGAGAGTCTAAGGCATGCAGGTAAGGAGGAGAGGCTTATAAGAGAGCTTGGTCTCGCTACACTAAAAATAAGAGGCAGGGCCAGAAACAGGATCACAACGTACACTGTTCATAGAGGAAATGGTAAAATGTCCAAATACAAAATATTAAGTATGAGCAGTGGTCGGACAAAATGGCAGGAGTTGAAGCAGCTCAGATAAACAACGACCGTTTAGCCATGTAAGTGAGCACGTCCTCGGTTCTGAGAGATGAGCAAGTGGAATGAGCTAAAAAGAAGATAATCAAGGCTAACTCATTACATTGGTTCAAGGGTTCTACCAAGGGATAAGGTTCTACCTTATCACACCAAATGTACCCTAATTTGTGAGTATTTAGAACAAATGTCTATTTCCTGAACGAGGCTTCTGTCTTTTAAGCTAGTAAGATTACAATGGAGCAGCAGACAGCACATTCCCTTACACCGCAGATTACCATATATAAGTAACTCATTAAGTCGTGCTCGTTAAGTTATGGGATAAGTAACCCATAACTCATTAAGTTGACGATAGGCTGTTTTCGACCCATCTTCAGGCTATGGCTGTCCAGGCTACGCTCACCTGCACCCACCTTTCTCCCCCAAAAAATCTAAAAAAATTTGTGTACGATTTGTAAAAATCTGTATATCACGGAGAAATAATGAATTCATATATATATTATATAAATAAATATATATATTAAATACATAAGATCTGATCAATAGTTACTTATACTTGTTTATAGGTATTTATATATATATATTTTTGAGCGAAACATGCCAAGTGAAAAGTTGGAACGCCAATCAGCTGTTGGCCACACGTGTTGATCGTGACCAGGTGGGCGGCGGTACGCTCCTGGGCTTCACGGCCACTGTGTTAAGGACAGGTCGCTGCAAGTGAACAGGAACATCATGTAGGTGTTGACAAGTGATATGTTGTTTCTATATTGAATGACGTGCATTATTAACCGCTGCCAGTCAAAAATAAAAGTGTATTTGTGTCACGTGGGTTGGGTCGCCCCGGGGCTGCCTGCCGGTCCGCTATATACTGAACCCCCCAAAATTACTGTGAAAACGCTGGTTAGCCAAGACAAGTGTGTCTAGAACTGGAAGTTGCTCTTGGAGTTTGTCAGGCATTTAGTTTTTTTTTAAGGCAACATACGGAAAATGGATATTTGGATGTTGATAGTGCGCGCAGTGTTACCATGTGGATCATGGCGCCACAGTGTGCAGCGGGAAGCAGGACACCTCTGGAGCAACTGATTGGTGGGCCGGGGCGCCGTCACCAACTTGGGATAAAGGTAAGTGAATGTACCTCGGTATTTAAGACAACCTCACAAGGGTTTTTCATTTTGGGGGTATGTGTGATGGGGGTGGGAGGTGGCGGGGAGGATGAGGGGTTGATTGTTGGCGCCCGAGGCGGCTACTTTGTTGTCAACTATACTCTGATGAGGACTGGGCAGGATGGAACGTTGATGGGGACTGGAGAGGATGGAACGTTGTTGGGGACTGGAGAGGGTGGAGCGTTGGTGGGGAGTGGGGAACATGGA